TTGCAAATTGGAGGCCAGAGCCTGGGCAACTTAGTGAGACCTTGTCTCAAAAAGTGTTGGGAATGTAGCTCAGTGCTCCCTAGGTTCAATCTGCATAGTCTTAGTTATTTGAGAAGCTAAGGCAAGAAGATCACTTGATCTAGGCATGGTGGCACATGCCTGTAATCCCATCACTCAAGAGGCTGAGACAACAGGATTGTGTGAGTTCCAGGTCAGCTTGGGCTACATAGAGAGTTCAAAGCCAGGCTGCACTATCCTGAACATCAACCTGGACAACTAGTGTTGCCTTGACTCAACCCCTCCTCCGCCAAAAAACAAAGATGAGTATGGTGGAGAACATCTGTAATCCAAACTAAGTATGTGTTATCTCAACAAGCTCCCAAGAAAATGATGTTGTAGGTACACTTGCCCAAACTCTGGCCTCAAGATCCACCCCTTTTCCTAGATTCAGGGGTAGATTCAATCCCCATAAAACTGGGGATTTTTCAAGGCCAGTCTGAACTACATAACAAGACTCTCAAAAACAAACAAGAGGAGGGCTGGGGATTTGGCTCATTGGTTCCACTGCCTGCCTTGCAAGCACAAGGGCCTGAGTTTGATCCCCAATACCATGAAAAAAAGGAAAAAACAAAACAAACAAACAAACAAACCAAGAGGTATGGGCCAGGGATTTACTCAGTGGCACTGTGCCTGCCTTGCAAGTGCAAGGTCCTGAGTTCGATCCTGGTACCAAACACAAACAAATAAACAAGAATGGCCCATCTTTGCTTCCTGTGGACAGCGGAAAGAAAAACTGACAAAAGGATCTCCTCATTCCCCCAGTCCTAAGGTCCTTTCTTCATACATACTGGACCCTTCTGTAGAGAGGTAGGAAGGGAAGGTGTTATCTTCCAAACCCACTTGGTTGTCTAAAGAATGGTCACAGGAGAGTGAACAATGCCTTCCAAAGTTGGAGTTGCAGGGTGAGGCGGAAGCTACAAGGTCAGCAACAGGGTTGCCTGAGGCAGAGCAGATGGTAGGGTGGCCCAAGGTGTCCTGGATTTCACTGTAAGGGATTGTGGGGAGGGAATGGGTGATGAGTTGGCCTTGTTGTGCCTCTCACTATCCACTGTCACAGATTCTCAACAACAGTGGGGCTGCCTAGTCTTAGTTTCTAATTTCAAGGGGAGCAGAAGATATGAAATCAAGGGAGTAATGAACTGAGGGCCAGAAAGCAGGCATGAAGAAAGCAGTCATGCAGGAAGTTGTTCAGGTGCAGGTCTTCACTATACGGACTCTTCCACCAAGAACCCTTCTTCAGGAACCCTAAGTCAGCCCAAGGAGCTCAGTTCTTTGATTCTTGGATTTATTCCCTCAGCTCCTCTACCAGGTGCCTGATCTTATGCTACCCTTCAGGCTTACATGAATCGCCCCATCTTTCCACCTGTTAGCTATACCACTAGCATTCATTTCATTGTGCTTTATTCCTCAGCTGTTTTCTATGGCTGCTTTTTCCACTCATCAGGATCCTGCCTAAGAGTGAGGACCATGTTTTATTCTCTTCCCTCATATTCAATCCAAGTGGTTAAATATTCTGGTATACTCCTTGGGGGAAGCAACTGCATTTATCACTTCGTGTTCCCCACAATACCTAAGAGTTTCCTATTCACATAACAGGGCTTTACAATTTGTAATTTTAAGAACTTTAGCTGGACATGGTGGTACCTGTAATCCCAGTACTCTGGGAGGCTGAGGCAGGAGGATCACAAGTTCAGTTGAGGCCCAGTCTACACAATTTAGTAAGAGTCTCTCAAAATAAAAAGTGGCTAAAATAAATAAATAAAAATTTAAAAGTGGCTGGTGGTAGTAATACATGCCTGTAATCCTAGCACTCAGGAAGCTGAGGCAGGAGGAGGATCACTGTGAGTTTGAGGCCAGCATGAGCTACATAGTGAATTCAAGTTCAGCTTGGAATACATAGCGAGACGATGTCTCAAAAATAAATAAATAGGGCGGGGGATTTAGCTCAGTGGTTCCGCCACCTGCCTTGTAAGCACAAGGACCCAAGTTCAATTCCTAGTACCAAAAAAATAAAAATAAATCAGAAATAAATAAATAGCTGGGGATTTAGCTCAGTGGTTCCACCGCCTGCCTTGCAAGCATCAGGACCCGAGTTCGATCTCTGGTACCAAAAAAAAGCACAAGGACCTGAGTTCCCTGGTACTCAAATAAATAAATAAATAAATAGTAAATAGTGGCTGACCAGGGATGTAGTTCAGTGACACCGCACCTACCTGGCAATCGCATGGTCCTGAGTTCAATTTCCAGGACTGAAAAATTACAAGGGTTGGGGAAATTGCTAAGTACAGAGGCCCTGGGTTCAATCCCCAGTACCACAAAGAAAGTCTAACAGAAAATATTCCAATATACATGTAAACATGGATTTCTGTATTATTTCCATCTTTCAAAAGTCACATTAAAAAAAAGTCACTGGACACATCAGCCCAGTGTCATTGCTTTCAGCTAATGACTTTTGCCAGCTAAACTGATGGGGAGGGATAGGAAGAAAGGGGAAAAAAAAAAAAAGTAACTGAACTTCCTGGACAGAGCCTCAAATAGGGTCCTGCAAGTGTAAGAGCCTCTGACTTATCCAGAGCTTTCATGGTTTTTTAGGCACTGTGAAACATTTTCAGGACAGGTTTTGTCAACTGATTGAATAGTGGACTGGCCTTGCTTACTGTGAGGTGCTCAGGGCTGCTTAGTGGAAGATGTGCATCTCAGACAGTCCTCAGTGCAGGGCCAGTGACACCTCAGCTCATCTGTGAATCCTAGTGAATGCTTTTCAGTGTTCAGGTAAAAGCTTTGAACTTCTACCAGGAAAGGTACAGAATTTCAATAGAGCCAGGCTTGTTTCTCTCTCTCTCTGATTAGTCTGATAATCAACTGGGTAGTTATCATCATGGGAGAAAGTTATTCTGATTATATGACAAGTACCCAAGTAATCATATTCTATTTTATTTATTTAGGTACAGGGAATTGAACTCAGGACTTTGCATTTACCAGGCAGGTGTGGTGCCCACTGAGCTACATCCCCCGTCCCAAGTGATCATTTTCTGATGGTAACATGTATATGTGGACGATGATCCCTACTATCTGAGCAAGTCCTCCCATGGGTGGGAGTGGGAGGGCTAATGATTTCTGGAAAGACACAAAGAGATCTTAGGGTTGTAAACAAGTCGGGAAGGAAGATTATTAGGATACACTTTCTAATAAAAAATACAGAGTTGTCCTTCAGAGCTCCAGGGAGTCTCAGCTTGCTCCTGATCAACAAGGTAGCTGAAGACTGCCTTCTCTGGGGATGCCACAAGTTCTTCCTTTCCATCTGCTCCTGGCACCTCACTCTATTTGGAAGGTGCTTTGGCTCTTATCACCTACTGAAATCTTTCAGGATAATACTCTACCTGGAGGTGCTCTTGTTTCCTCTGGCCACAACTAATTTCACCTTCCATGTGCAACTACTGGTTCTCTACCTCTTCCATATGCAAACTCATTATGTATGATGATGCCACACAAATATCCTGTGTCCTTATTCCCATGAGAACACTCCATGAAAAGTAAAACACTTTCCTCCAGGGAGATTGCACATGCATGAGCGTGCACACACACAGGAATATATATATATATATATCATATATATATATATATATGATATATATATGAAATACCCAGTTTATTATGACTAATCAGAGAGAGAAATAAACTTGACTCAATTGAAATTTTGTGCCTTTCTTGATAGGTGTCCAAAGCATTTGCCTGAATACTGAAGCAGAGTGGTCACTAGGATATAGATATATAGATGTGCCTTGTTATTGTTAATTAGAGTCACATCGAAGTAGAAGACATTTCACATCTGATTTTGAGGGAAAGAAGACTATATTTGGTCTAAAAAGTTATCCCCCAGTGACTCTCGGAACATATCATATTTGAAAGGATGGACAAAGTGGTAGGCTGACTCAGCTCCCTAACACCTTGGTTGGCAATTTCCTTTCTGAGGAATGGAAATCATTAGCTACATGTGGGGGAATGAAAGCTAATGAAGATGCAGGTTGGGCCGGAGATGTAGCTCAGTGGTTTTGCCACCTGCTCGCAAGTGCAAGGTCCCAAGTTCGACCTACGGTACCCATAAATAATAAATAAAAGACGCAGGTGAACTATTACGTGCAGGGGAACAGGGTTCAGAAAGAAACCTAGGAGATCTGCAGGTTCATGGAAAATCAGGTGTGGGTCTGGTTCTCCTGCTCTTTAGGACCTTCCCAACCCTTCAGCATCCACCTCCTTGTTGTAGGAGCTTGGCACAATGCAGTGATCCAAGACCAAGCTGAGATCCTAGGTTAAATCCGAGACCCGAAAGCACTTCCAGCTTCTTCTGCGGTGAAGTGCGCACTGGGTTGCCCGGCAACTAGCTACTGCAGTGGGGGCAGAAGGTGAGTGGAATGTTGAGGAAAAGTACCTGTATCTAGATTCAGAACAAGAAAGGTGGGAGGGGCTTTAGAATTTACATCATCCAAATTGCAGCTGCGTTTGTGAGACTCAAGTTGTCTCTACCTGGGCTTCCAACTAAGTTGGCAACAGGTTTCCTACAAAGAACAGGTGTGGCTCCAGCCTTCACACCTGCTACCTACCCTGGCTTCCAGGAAACATCTTGGCTCCAAGGCATCCCTGATTCAGCCTCTGGCACTGGCCCTTTAAATGTGACCTGCGGGGGTTGCCGGAGCTAAAACTGACGTGGAACCTCAGAGAGCAGTGTCAGACACGTGGTAGGAGGAGGCGTTCATTTTGAAACAGGGCAAAGGATATTTCCGCTGTGGGCTTTACATCTTTAATATAATGTTAGGTGGATACCCACTCTTGCTTCTTGTCTTTCTTTATTGCTTTCTCAATACTCTCGTGATACTTCTCTCGAAGAAAAATGTAGTTAAAAATTACACTTCTGTTCCTTTTCTAGTGCCCATATTAAAAATGGCGCCATCACCTTCTGGGACGTAGTTCATTTAGACTGAAGATCCGGGCGGAAACAGCGGGTAGGCAGGTGCGGCCGGACAGAGCCCAGGTTGCTTTACAAAACCTCTTGGGGAATCCCGAGAGCGAGTCAAGTCAGAGTTGGGTTTTGCTCCGCCTCGCATGGGAAGACTCCGCTTGTGAGGATCGGTCACTCCTTTACTGCTGAAACCTCGGGGCTGCTTCTCAGCTTGCCAGTTAGCTGAGTAGGCTGCGGAGCGGGACCTCTGGCCAGTCACCATGTGGGCCTTCCCCGAGGTGCCGATTCCGCTTCTGGTGAATTTGATCGTCTCGCTGTTGGGATTTGTGGCCACGCTCACCCTCATCCCGGCCTTCCGTGGCCACTTTATCGCTGCGCGCCTCTGTGGCCAGGACCTCAATAAAACCAACCGGCAGCAGATGTGAGCAGTGGCACACGGGTTGTCCCTAGCTGGGGTGGGGGGTGGGGGTGGGCAGGCGCGAGCACTGAGGTGCTTAAATGTAGGCTTGAACTGAGTCTAACCTGAGCTGTCCGGGACCCTGGGAAGTGATAGACAGAATTGGTTAGCACTGGGAATGATGGAGAAGGGAACCCAGGAGTGAATCAGGAACTCTAGCAGTAGTGTCTTCCACCCCCACTCCCAACAAACTATGGGGAAGACCTTTCGGGTTACCGTAATCTCTGGACTGAGTGACCACGCCCATTTCCTCTTCTTCCTCCACCCGCTTGTTTTGGTCTGCAGCCCAGAATCCCAGGGAGTCATCAGCGGTGCTGTTTTCCTCATCATCCTGTTCTGCTTCATCCCCTTCCCCTTCTTGAATTGCTTTGTGGAGGAGCAGTGTAAGGCATTCCCCCACCATGAAGTAAGTGGGTTAATGGGGGCGGCTGCCTGGGGCCTGGGAGCTAACAGAGAGTTGGGGTTGTTTGGACTTGGGAGGAGAGGCTGAGGAACCAGCGGAAATACAGAAATTCTTGAAAAGTTGAACGGGAGTAGGCTTGAGTTGTGACCTGCCTGAGCCTCCCCCAGTTTGTGGCCCTGATAGGTGCCCTCCTTGCCATCTGCTGCATGATTTTCTTGGGCTTCGCGGATGATGTCCTGAATCTACGCTGGCGCCATAAGCTGCTGCTGCCCACAGCTGCCTCCCTGCCTCTTCTTATGGTCTATTTTACCAACTTTGGCAACACAACAATTGTGGTACCCAAGCCCCTCCGCCCAATTCTTGGCCTGCATCTGGACTTGGGTGAGTATCCCTGCTGCCACTGTCCCTGTGGCACTTCGGGTCACCATCCCCCAAGATGCCCAGCAGAGCACCCTTCCTCATGTTCCACATTCCCCTGTTCCTGATGTAAGTCTCTGCTCAGATCCTCTCTGGTCTCTGCTTAGACCAGTCCTTCACCATGTGTTCTGTTCTCCGAATACCCTTAAATCCTTCCCTAGGCATCACTACTTCTTTGTTTGTTTCAGGGATTGAATTTAGGACCTTGCACTTGCTAGGCAGGTGTTGGAACCACTAAGCTAAATCCCCGGCCCTCACTACTTTTCATACTGTGCCTTCCTTGCAGGGATCCTGTACTATGTCTATATGGGGCTCCTGGCAGTGTTCTGTACCAATGCCATTAATATCCTAGCAGGAATTAATGGCCTAGAGGCTGGCCAGTCGCTAGTCATCTCTGCTTCCATCATTGTCTTCAACCTGGTAGAGCTGGAAGGTAGGTGGGATTGGAGAGAGAGAGAGAGAGAGAGAGAGAGACATCTCAGAATTGCCTGATATATACTTCTAAGGAATTCATGGGGGGGGACAATATGTAAGTAATTACAGAAAATAGGGAAAGCTATTTACTTTGTAAATAACAATGAAGAATTACTAAATGTGAGAAAGAAAAATAGCAGCCTGTCATATATAGCTGGGTTGCACAAGTAGCAAGACCATGATTGTTTCCTATTAGACATAAACAGTTTCCCAACATCAGAGAGGGGCTTTCTGATCATGGTGGAACAAGACAAAAATCAGACTTCTACTGTAATCAGGTCTGAGTACAGACAGAGGACAAGAACACAAAAGTAGTCAACATCCCCTCTTGTCTAATGTGAGAGATTGCAGTTTATTTGCAATAACAACTCAGTTCCTACTGCTTCTTAGGTAAAAATTAAGATGTTCAGTCAGAATTACTCCTGCTTTCTGACAACACCCAGTCCAGAGCACTTTTCCTTGAAGCTTCCCCAAAACTATCCAAAGTGAATCCAATAATAAGTCCCTCCTAATAACCCTTAGAGTGCTTGCCTAGCATGAGGCCCTGAGTTCAATCCCCAGCATCACACACACACACACACACACACACACACACACACACACACACACACACAAAACTCAGTTCACTGCTTCTTAGGTAAAAATTAAGATGTTCAGTCAAGCAATATTTATTTATTTTGGTTTTCTGGGACAGGGTCTCACTATATAGTTTAAGGTGGCCTTGAACAGTATGCAGCTCAGGCTGGTCTGAGATCCTCCTGCCTCAGCCTCTTTTAAGTGCTGAAATTCAAGCCGGGCATGATGGCGCAAGCCTGTAACCCCAGCATTTGGGAGACTGAGGCAGGAGGATCACTGTGAGTTCGAGACCGGCCTGGGCTACATAGTGAGTTCCAGGTCAGTCTCATCTACATAGTGAGACCCTGTCTCAAAAAAAAAAACAAAACAAAACAAAAAAAAAGTGCTGAAATTCAGGTGCGCATCACCAGGCCCAGCTAAGTAAGCAATTTTTAAACTAGGGATGGTGGCACATACCACTAATTCTAACACTAGGAGGATTAGGAGAATCACAGGTTTGAGCCTAGCCTTGGCACTTCGAGAATTCCTGTCTCAAAATACAAAATAAAAAGAGCTGGAGATGTAGACCAGTACTGGGGTCCAGGGACCCATGTGAAGGCTATGTTTGACATGTGTTATCATCAGTCCTGTGCCACACACTAGGTACTAAAGCTGGTGTTCAAGCCTAGCTCAGAATGTCTGGACAAATTGAAGACATTAACTAGTTCTTAAAGGTTTCATGAAAGTGGTGGGATACTGGGAACTGTGTGAGTGATATGGAAGGAGTGGTGGATTCTTGAAAGTGGCTTGGGTGAGGTGAGAAATACAGCTGGCAACAGAGATAGGCATAAGAAACAGACAAAATTAGCAGCATACGTAAGGGATATGGGTATTAACTTTTCCCTCTTGTTCCTTTATTTCCCCAGGTGATTATCGGGATGATCATGTCTTTTCCCTCTACTTCATGATACCATTTTTTTTCACTACCTTGGGATTGCTCTACCATAACTGGTAAGGAGGCCTGTGGCTAAGGGAGACAACTATCTGATCACATGGCAAAGATGGTCCTGATCTTAACCCAGCTTCTGATGGAGAGGCTGAACTTGTACGTGGTTTTGCTCAGTGTTTTCTAGGTGTTCAGTTGGTAGTATTCTGGCATTATTTTTGTATGTATGTATTTATTTATTATTTTTAAAAATATCAGGGATTGAACTTGGGTGCTTGTGCTTGTGAGGCAAATGGCAGAACCACTGAGCTAAATCCCCAGCACATGTATTTATTTATTTTTTGTGCAACACCAGGGATCAAACCCATGGCCTCCTGAATGCTAGGCAAGTGCCTTAGTACTGAGTTATACCCTCAGCCCAAGATTTGGTCTTTTCTCAGCAGTTGGAGACAAGTGCTATGGAGCCCCAGAAATAATTATGGGAACTTGGGTTCTGCAAAGTTGCTGGGACAGCTGGACCACCTTTCAGTCAGAGCTAGGGTCAGGGTAGCCAGGCACATTGGCATGTACCTGTAATCGCAGCCCTTGGGAGACTAAGGCAGGATCGGTACCATGAGTTCAAGGCTACATAGCAAGTTCAAGGCCAGCTTGGTCTACATAGTGAGACCCTGTCTCAAACACAACACAGGGCTGGGAATTAACTCAATGGTGCTGTGCCTGCCTTGCAAGTGCAAGGTTCTGAGTTCGATCCTCAGTGCTGCAAAACAACAACAACAACAAAAAGAACTAGGGTCCAGGTTAGCCCAGTACCTATTGTTTGAGATGTGAGAAAGGGTTGTTAATGCCTCTTGCCATTGGCTCAGATCCTTTCCCCTACACAGGTACCCATCGCGGGTGTTTGTGGGAGACACCTTCTGTTACTTTGCTGGCATGACCTTTGCCGTGGTAGGCATCTTGGGACACTTCAGCAAGACCATGCTACTCTTCTTCATGCCACAGGTGTTCAACTTCCTCTACTCACTGCCTCAGCTCCTGCATATCATTCCCTGCCCTCGCCACCGTATACCCAGGTAGCCATTTGGGGGCCTGAAAGAGATATCAAAGCCTTTCACTTGGGATATCTAAAGCCAGTCTGTACATTTGCCATGCAAAGGATGTGGGGCCAAAGAAAGGCTAATTCTTTCCATGTAGGTAGTCCTTTTAAGTTTACAAAACACATTTACTTACATAATCTTATTTGATGCTCACAGTAGTTCTGATTATACAGTAGGAAGCATCAGAGCTAGAAATAGATCTCACTCCATGTTCAGTGCTTTTCCTAGTAAATAACCCCAGGGTGGAAAGTTCTTCGAGTAGTGGCACAGTCGCATGAAAGTATTTTCCCCCTACAGACTCAATACCAAGACAGGCAAACTGGAGATGAGCTATTCCAAGTTCAAGACCAACAGCCTCTCTCTCTTGGGCACCTTTATTTTAAAGGTAACAAGGTAACAAGGAGGTAAGGCCCCAGGCCACACCATCCTGAACTTGGGAAATGGGGGACCCAGACCTACATTAGATCCAGGGAGAGCTTGGAAGCATTAAGCAGATCTGTTCCTGAAATGCAGTTATTAGCTGAAGTTCTGTCCACCTGTGCTCCCTGTAGGTAGCAGAGAGACTCCAGCTAGTGACAGTGCGCCAGAGTGAGGATGGGGATGGTACCTTCACTGAGTGTAACAACATGACCCTCATCAACTTGCTACTTAAAATCTTTGGGCCCATACATGAAAGGAACCTCACACTGTTCCTGCTGCTGCTACAGGTGAGTTTGGGGCTGAGTTTGTGCTTCCTTATTTCCCATTCTCCATGTTTCTTATTCTAGTGCATTTCTCCTTGCAGATACTGGGCAGTGCTGTCACCTTTTCCATTCGGTACCAGCTTGTCCGACTCTTCTATGATGTTTGAGTTCCTGAAGATTGCCCTTTAGCACACCACTCCAGGGGTCCTAACTGGGGCCAGCCTGTTTGGTCACTGAGTAGGCCTCTCCCAATCTTTACTCTCCTCCAGGTTTTATTCCCAGCATTTTCCTTTTCCTGTGATTATTGACATTCGGGGCCTTATTTGTCCTCCAGTGACCTTTTTTTTGTGATACCGGGAATTGAACTCAGGACTTTGTGCTTACAAGGCAGGTGCAGAACCACTGAGCTAAATCCCCAACCTCCTCCAGTGACTATTAATTGGACTTTACCTATGGCCTTCAAGTTGCCACTCTCCCTCTCCATCAAGCCTAAGGCGGGATGTAGCAGCTTCTATGCAGATATCCACAACTCAGCTTTCAGAGTCCTAACCCTCAAGGAATATGCTGGGCCTTGAGGTAAAACCTGGGCTAGGGCTAGGACACTGGCTCAAAGGTGACTTGACATTTGAATGTAAATTAAGTGTTCTGATTGGGAAGACAGAAGGAGAGCCCGATGGTGACAATAAAGTGTTACCTTTTTCTTGTTGTTCCTGTAGGTGAATTTCCTATATGAGCATTTTAAGATAGATTGGGAGAGCTGGTGGAGGTTCTTTTTCCAAGGATGTCTATCTCTGCCCTAGCAGACCCCTTTTAGCAAGAAGTGAGAAGAACTGAGCCATGTGTGGTGGTGCACACCTGTAAACCCAGCATTCAGGAGGATGAGGCAGGAGGATTGCCTCAAGTTAGAGGCCAGCCTGACATACATAATGAGACCCTGTCTCAAAACAAAAACAACCATAGTGAAATCCTCTCTCTCAAAAAATAAATAAGTAAATTAGAAAGAAAAGAAAAAGAAAAAGAAAAAACTGAACAGAACCAAGTCCGGTCAAAACATGTCGAATGTTGGAAATACTGACATTGTAGGTGGCATGAAGGGCTGGTAAAATCTATTTGCTGGAAGATGGTTGAACTTTCAGGTCTCATTTCTTCTGTTTTCCCCTTTGCTAAATAAGAGGGAGTGGGGAGTGACTAGACCTAAGAGGAGAGGAAAAGGAAGTTGTAGTATTAACCCCTTTTTGAAATCCTAGGTCAGCACAAAATTTGCCAAAGGCTAAGTGGCTTCAGATGCCACTCTCTTCCGGTTCTGGTTTCCCGCTGTAGCGTTTAAATCTCGCGCGCTTTCCCTAGATTGGCCACCTCTGGAGGAGGTTGGCAGACTACGTGCTGTCACTTCTCCTCGCCGACTTCCCCCGGCAAAAGGTTTTCAAATTCTACCAATCGCTGGGCGCGCTCCCTCAGCCGAGGCACGCCAGGGAAGGGTTAACCACAACCAACCAGAGGCGTGTATTAAGGGAAAAGAACCAATCAGGGTTACCACGGGGGTGTGCCCTGGGAGCTATAAAGGCGGCCCTTAACGCGCGCGGCAGCAGTTGTGCTGCGGCGGGTTGCGTTAGTACTGTCCTTTGGAGGCGCTGCTCTTCACCGGTCTACCTCTTTCACTATGTCCGGCCGGGGCAAGACTGGCGGCAAGGCCCGCGCCAAGGCCAAATCTCGCTCTTCGCGCGCCGGCCTCCAGTTCCCGGTGGGCCGCGTACACCGACTGCTACGGAAAGGCCACTACGCCGAGCGGGTGGGCGCCGGCGCGCCGGTGTACCTGGCTGCGGTGCTCGAGTACCTCACCGCCGAGATCCTGGAGCTGGCGGGCAACGCGGCCCGCGACAACAAGAAGACGCGAATCATTCCTCGCCACCTGCAGCTGGCCATCCGTAACGACGAAGAGCTCAACAAGCTGCTGGGCGGCGTGACGATCGCCCAGGGAGGCGTCCTGCCCAACATCCAGGCCGTGCTGCTGCCCAAGAAGACGAGCGCCACCGTGGGGCCAAAGGCGCCGGCGAGCGGCAAGAAGGCCACGCAGGCCTCTCAGGAATACTGAGGGCCCCCGCGCCGGTCCCCGGCCCTCCTCATGCCACCACCACAAAGGCCCTTTTAAGGGCCACCATCGCCTCACAGAAAGAGCTGAGCCACGCGGAGCTGCGGAAACGGCGGCCGCGCCCCCC